ATAAAAAATATATATATTATATACTATATTTAGTATAGAAAATGAGGTAATCCTGATACCAAACCTCTCAATCTCGAGTTCATGTGCCCAGTGCACAGTAAGTCAAACAGTGAGACATCTGTGCTTGGAGATGGAGAAAGGTTTATTTGAATTGGACAAAATGAGAAGGCAGGAGGATAGGTTTTCTCAAATCTGCCTTCACAAGAGAAGAAAGCAGGAGATTTTTTAGAGCTAAGGGACTTGGCAGGAGTTTCAGAGAAACAAAGGGGTAATCTGTGTTTCTATCACTCAAAGAAGCCCTTGGGCAATGTGACTTCTGGGTGTCAAAGGCAACTAGGGGCTGGTTATCTGGGGATCTAACTTCCTTGAAGGCATTTTTTTCTTCTGTAAAAGCTCATCAATCCTTGTGGCCTTGAGTCACCCCTCAGTTTAAACAAGAAAACAGCAAATTGACAAGATTAACTTCTTTTCATTTATGTCTGTGTTGGGAACAAGGTTGAAAGGTAATCTTATTGAATATTTCCAGTAACCCTCAGGTACCTGGCTTCAGTACCATACTGCATATTCTATGTTCTCACGTTTTGCCTTATTTTAATGACAATCATAAGGCAAAGAAACTTTTCAGCGGGCTTCTTTAAATGTTTTTGAGAACTCTTGTGGGTCACTTGATGGCTTTTTGAAAATCCAATCCAAGAATACTTTTCTGCTGCTGTTTTTCCACAAGAGGAAAAAGCCTTTTTCTTATTTTAAATTTCCTATTGGAAACGCCAGTGTTAGAGATGACATTGCTAGTCTTTTTTTGTTTTTTTGCTGCTGCTCTCCAGGTAACTATCCATTTTTGCAAAAACTGACATTGTAATTTACAGAGGCTTTAAATGTTTAGTTTTTTTCTATTGTCTTCATATCTTGATCTGAGAGCCTTTAATCTTTTGCCTCAGAAAAACCTCATTGGTCAGTTCTTGGGAATAAGACCATTATTTTATGAATATCTATCTTGTTAGAAAACCAGGGGGCCAGCCTGGTGGTACAGCCGTTAAGTTCTCATGTTCCGATTGAGTGGCCTGGGATTCAGCGGCCCAGATCCCAGGTGCGGACATGGCACCGCTTGGCAAGCCATGCTGTGGTAGGCCTCCCACATATAAAGTAGAGGAAGATGGGCACAGATGTTAGCTCAGGGCCAGTCTTCCTCAGCAAAAAAGAGGAGGATTGGCAGCAGATGTTAGCTCAGGGCTAATCTTCCCCCCCCAAAAAAAAATCATAAAAAAAAAGGAAGAAAAAAAACTCTAGCTATTCACTGACCCAGGCACCTTTATGGCCTACTTCATTCCTTTGACCTTGCTAATCAGAAACAAAATCTTGGTAATACTAACACTGAGAGGTTATCTGAAACTAGAAGTTCTTTCTCCATGTTCTCTAGTGCAGCATTTCTCTTACTTTTATGTACATATGAAATACCCAGAAATCTGGTTAAAATGTAGATTTCTGTCTTAGCTCTGGGGTGAGCCAAGATTTTGCATTTCCAGCAAAGTCCCAGGTGATGCTCATGCTGCTGATTCCTGGATCACACTGTGAGTACTAGGCTACCCACTTGTTATGAAAGATGTGGGTAAGCTGTGGTCAGGAGTTAGAGAGGTCTTTGAGAGGCAGGCTATGGAGTGTGAGGCTATGAGAGAAGGAGGGCCATCGGGCCAGGTACATGACACCTGCATGGATTATACAAGAACACGTGAAGCAGACTAATGGGGAAATTTGTATTTGTTTACCTCCTGGTCTAAGAGTCATAAAAAGCACATAGGTGTCGTCAGTTCTGGGTTCTGATGTTGGCAGTGGTAATAGCTGTGTGACTTTGATGAAATTATTTTACAAGGATTCAAGTTCCTTGTCCTATAAATATAAAACAAAGGAGATGGATTAGATGGTTTTGTTTCCTAATCTGAGGATTCAGATATCAGGGCTCTCCAAATGTAACAATAGGAAAGTGATTTTTTATCTGAAAAGCATAAAGGAAAGTGTATATTTTCTTGTGATAAGGCCCTTAATACAATGCACTCTGTGGTGTCCATGTAGGCCAAAAATTTTGATAGTTAAAAAAAACAAACCTGGGGTCAGCCCCGTGGTGCACCGGGTAAGTTCGCATGTTCCATTTCAGCGGCCTAGGGTTTGCCAGTTCAGATCCTGGGTGTGACATGGCACCACTCGTTGAGCCATGCTGTGGTAGGCGTCCCACATATAAAGTAGAGGAAGATGGGCATGGATGTTAGCTCAGGGCCAGTCTTCCTCAGCAAAAAGAGGAGGATTGGTGGCAGATGTAAGCTCAGGGCTGATCTTCCTCAAAACAAAAACAAAAACAAAAAGAAAATTTGGCAACTTTTGGAATACTTAAGATCTGAGTCCTTCCAGATCAGAAATTATATTATTATATCTATCCTCATAGTGTTTGGCAGGGTGCTATAACTCTGACTTTTTCATGTTGAATTAAAGAGAAGATTGTTTATATACAATAAAGTTTTTTTCCTTCAAAACTCTACAGTAGCTTCTTGTAATTCATCAGGCTGAGACCCTTTAAGAAATCCTTAAACTAGCAAATACAATCTCAGTTTCTCCAATTCTAAAATGGAGATAAGAATATTTACTGAGTTGTGTCAGGTTTAAGTGAGGACAGGCCTTTTTGAGTTTCAAATTTGGGTCAGGTTAGTTAGGTTCCTCTTTAGCATAACCCAGCTCACCCTGAATTCCTGGGTTATTCTACTTGACATCTCAGCAAAGTTAAGTTTTCCAATGTCAGGAACCTATTTGTTTTAAAATCTTGAGTTCATATTTGCAAATGTGAAGTATTTAGTCCACTTTCTTTCTGTCTTTTTTTTTTTTGCTTTGTTCAGATTTAAATGATTATCAATATGGTTGGAGTAGCACAAGGCAGGAACTGTGACCTAGCTTCCAATCCTTTATCATCATTTCATCTTTGTTTATATATTGTCTGTAAAATTGGTAAAAAAAAAAATCTGCCATAGTTCCTGTGGTCGTGGAGATAAAATGAAAGAAAATCGGATGTAAACGATAAATTGTTATATAAATGGAATCAATTTTTACCATCTTTTTTTGCAGGTTTACCTCAGTGCATATGTATGATCTTACAGAATTCAGTTCTGAAATATATAGGTTAATGCTACTTTATATTAGTATACTACAATTTACTAATACTCATAATCTTGTAGGAAGCTGGCAAAGCTGGAAGCAGAACTCATCAGAACTTGCTATTTATTTATTTATTTATTTTGAGGAAGATTAGCCCTGAGGTAACATCTGTCACCAATCCTCCTCTTTTTGCTGAGGAAGACTGGCCCTGAGCTAACATCCATGCCCATCTTCCTCTACTTTATACGTGGGATGCCTGCCACAGCATGGCTTGTGAAGCGGTGCCATGTCCACACCTGAGATCCAAACCAGTGAACCCCGGCTGCTGAAGCAGAACGTGCACACTTAACCACTGGGCCACCGGGCCGGCCCTATTTATTCTTTTTGACACTGCCTATTAATGTGTTTTAAATATCAAGAGCACAGACATTGGATAAGTCACCAGAATCCTATGGTATCTCGATGGGTTAGCTTTTCTCAAAATGTCTGTTTCCTCAGGACAGGGAAGCCTTCTTAGGTGGGAAGTGGTTGCCCTGTGACTTGTGGGGAAAAGTGCCAACTCTAACTTACTTTATGGACACCCAGTCAGGTGTCCTCAGAGCAACCTCAGCCACAGGGGACTTTCCTTCATCAAATCTCCCTCTACAGCTGGCTCTAAAATTCTGATTGGCTTTGGCTCAAAATGTAATACAGTGAACCAAATCTAGTCAAAATAAAAGACAAATTAGCTGATAAATTTTGTTAGCATAATTTGTACCACATAATCTGGAAAAGTTAGTGTCTACCTAAATCTTTTAGACCTCCAGGATAATTCACAAATGTTTATAAACTTAGAAACAAAATACCCATTGCTTTTACTTTATGTCATAGGCCCTCAGTGCCATTTTCTTATTTGGGCTTCACCCTGTTCAAATCTGATATTCTTAAAATGTAGAGTTCAAACTAGATACAATTAAAAACAAAACAAAACAGACTAATGCAAATAATAAATAGGATTATTCTAAATTTTCTGCCAGGTTACACATTGGGTCAGCAACTGTTTAGTTAAGGATAAAAAGGTTAATTAAAATTGTAAATGATTCTCTTAAAATTGATTGTCTTAATTAGCCTGTGAAGTGCCTTGAAAAGAATATAAATCTACAAATAGATGGTATTAGTTTTCTTACTAATTTAATTTTCAGGCTCTCCTAGAATTAGAGAAATCCAAGACACTTTGACTTTTCAAAGTCCTTCGTTATAAACACATTTTTTAAAAGATAAATAAAAACAAGCCATTGAAATAATAAAAATGCCCATTGCGGAAGCTGTAATTATAAAATTAAGAATCGTTTTTTCTTTGTAGGTGTTGTGCCACAGTTGATGTTAACTATAGGAACACCAAAAGCAAAAACAACCTACGAGTCTAATTTTGAGGCACCGTTTTGTTTCGGCTCAGGCCCACCGTCGTCCTTGTTAATGTTGTCTTTTTCTGCCGTAATTAGAGGACAGAGAATTAAATCTTAACTTTCCACTGTTTCCAGCAAAAGTGAGTATACATGCAATATATTCTTTTTGGGGGGCTCATATCCTTTTTTGAACAAGGCATAATGTAAAAAAAAATCTAAAATTAACAAGGTACGTTTTTCTTGTTCAAAGCTATCACTGCACAGTTTGCAAAGGGGTACAAGTTGCATACCATCCCTAATCATTTTTATACCTTCAGAGGCAATTCTGGCTTAATGCAAGGCATATTTACATGCTTTAGCCCAGTGGTTGCCTAGAAAGGTGTTTTTTGGGGGTGGGGTAGGTGGGAGTGCGGGGTGACCCCAAATTTATAGCAAAGAGTGCCCACGGTCAAAAACATCCAGCCCTCTGTCCAAACCCACCCCGTCGTACTCGGTCATTCTCGATATCTTCTTTATTTTTTCGGCAACCGCAGTCTTTTCCTTTAGCGGATGGCAAGAAAGCCAGCGAGCGCCCGGGAGACGCCCGGCCTCTTTACTACACTCAATCAAAGCAACAAAGAGAAGGCGAACCGTCAGCTGGATCAGGGTGTATAAACTAATCCGCCTAATTCAGGGAGTAGTCCTTCAGGGTGAAACCGCGAAGCTTTCGAGTGGTTGTAGCAGCCCGTCTCCATAGCAACCATCCGCGGCGCCTCTTCAGCGCCGGAGCCCGGATGTTGTGAGGATCGCGGCCGCCAGGCCCGGCTTCCTGCAGCCTCCCCGCGGCGGGCTGCGCTCCTCTTCGGGAGTCGTAGTTCTTCCCTCAGCCGCCGGCGGACATGAGGCGCGTACTGGACTACGAGTTCCGGCATGCGCTGCGGCGCCCCGCCGGCCGCCGCCTCCCGGCTGCGGACGCCCGCGAGCAGGTTGTTGTTTTTATGAGAGGCGTCACCGAGCCTGGAGCTGTGACCGCCGCCACCGCGACAGCCGGCACAGTCGGGCGGAGGTGGCGCTGCCCCTGCAGGTACGGCCCCGGACGAACCTGGAACCCGGGAGAGGAGTCGTGGCCGACTGTCGGGGCCCTGGCCGGTATCCGCGACTCAGCCGCCTGGCGGAGGCAGTCGCAGGATCTCCTCTGAGGCGGGGGCTGCTCGGGCCGGGGCTTGACCCCTGGCGCCTGCGATTGCGGCCGCACGGGTGGCCTCCCCGGAACGCGAGTCTGCAGCCCCGGCGGCCCGAGCCGGACCCTGAGGAGTCTGGTTGGGCGATCCTGAAGCTTCCGACCCACGCGTGCAGACCGGAGCGGTGATCTGGGGGTGTCGGGGTTCTGACGGCCCGGGGGACGGACCCGCCTTCCTTCACCGGGCTGGCTTGGGGCGCTTCTCGGTTCTGATTGATGAGAATCCATATGGTAAGATGTTATGTGCGTCACTCTGCCGGGGTTTCAGCCGGCCCGTCTTTTTTGGTGACGTTGAAGCCCCGTGATGCCAGGAATAGAAAGATTAAATAATGGAGCTGAGATTTCTCCTCGTACGCCAGCCTAATAATGATGCAATTCTCCTCCCTATCCTTTCTCCCCTCACCGGTCCCTTTTAGCGTCGGTCTTCCTAATCGATAAGTCCTGCGTAGCAGCTGTGCACACAGTGCCTTATACACGTTACATGTTTATTTTTGTCTAATGAATCCAACTCTTTGCTATTGGGAGCGCCAGTTTTAACGAACTCAGCCAATTAAGATACTTGGTTGAGTGGGTGAAATTTGCACTGCTTCACTCCAGTGTTATTAGAAAACGGAATGCAGCTAGCTTTTAGCTCGAAGAGGTAACTACTTTAGTACTGCGAATTTAGGAGATTTGCCTTCTCCAGTAAGGTCACATCCACTGGACAGTACTTGAAACGTCGCTGTTAGCGCATTATATCTTTGGCTTAGGGTTTGAATCTTCTTAGGCCCCACATTTCTCAGGGGGACGTTTTTCACACCTTGGACGCTACTGTGGCTGGTTTACTATTCTTTCCTCCGCTCTGATCATAAAGGGGAAAGAATGGGAGAAATTGAGGGTCTTATTTTAATGCATAATATTTAACCCTTTACCCTAAGGATGGGATTCTAGTGAAGGAAGCCACTAAAAATCATTCTCAAATAATATTGGTGTGGGAAATACTAATTTTTAAATGAAAACAGGTTAGGAAATAGTGTAATTCTGATTTTGTAAACTAAACTATAGAACTAGAAGCGATTGTATATCTATCAGAATAAGACTCAAAGGATAGTCATAGTTATAAAAGTGATCAAGTGGTGTAAATACAAATAGTTTTTTCATTATGGTTTCTGGTATTTTCCAAATTTTCTGTAGAAAAATTTTTTTAAAAAAGATACAGGTGCAGCAATTCCAGTTATGTAGATTCTTTAAATGTTATTTTAAAAAGCAAATAACAACAACAAAAAACACAGGCAGAACCCCTGTTACTGCAATGACAGACTATATGAATAAGAAATATGTGTAGTTATTTGTCGAGAAGGGACAAGAAATGCATTACTTGGACTGGAAAGGAAGAAAGCCCAGATATGACAATAATTCTTAGCATTTATCCATCTCCTCTTATTTTGATCTGTTTTCACTTTGTACAGTAAAATCAAAGACAAAAGTGCTTAGCCTTTCTTCCGTTAAGGTGCTGCAATCTTGATTATTCCTGTAACTCCATCAGGTGACAAAAGATGGGCATATTAATCTTAAAAGATCTGGATATAGCAGAATTTTTTAAATTAATTGTAAGGATTTACCAGTGGAAATAAAGAAGTTAAGCAATTATTATAAAATGGGGCATTTTAAGCTTTTTTTCATTGAATTACTTGGAATACTGTGTTTTATGTGTCTGATATTTTGGATTGTGTTTGTCTTTGTCTTGTTTTCTGTTACGAGTATGTTGGATATGAATGGGTAAGTAGCATATTATTTAGCCCACATTTTTTTTCTGTCATAAAGAGCGAGCCACATGGTTCTTCGATAGGACTATTCTGTGTATTTTTGCAGTTATCAGTCTTGGAAAATTGGGGTTACCTCTACTCCAAGTGTCCATTAACTCTTAATAAAATATCCATTCTGAAGCTTTTTGTTTTTCAAACTGTAGTATTCAGACTTTGTTTTCTTAGCTTGTCTTCTTTGGAGCTTTGCTTCTCTCCTCACATTTCAATTTCTTTTCAGTATTTTCCTCCCTTTAATTTTGTGTATTTTGTGTACTGTGTCAGCTCAATATCTGATTAGATACTTCGGTCCATTTACAGGGCATAAAAAACATTCATCATTGCTTAATCTGATTTACTAACTGGGTTCCGCAGTGTTGTTATCCAGGTTGTGTAATTGTATTCTTATCCAAGTTAAATAAAGATTTTTAAAAATTAGGTGTGAACTGCTAAGATCATAGAATTAATAGTTTCTGACACGTAAAGAATATGGACACAGTCAGGGCCTATTAAGCCCAGAGTATTTTAAAACAGAAAATGCAGACTCATCTAACAATGCAGAACTACTAGAGGCTGAATATTTTTGTGTTTGTGTGTGGTTAAGTTGAGGAAGTTGCTGTATTGTAAGTGATAACTTACATTTTCAAGACTTTTCTTCCTGGCATTTCTGCAGTTTTGACTAAATTAAAACTGTTAAAATATATGGATCGGTTTCAAAGGTCATGTCTAATGTATTGCACCAGCTAAACTTGAAAAAAACTCTCAATTTGAGTTCTAACATGAGATTTAGCTCTATAATGTGAGGAGGATTGCAACTTATTGCTAAATTTAGGGCTTTTTTTTTTTTTTTAAAGGGCATTTAATGTTTGGAAATCTATTTAAGGGTCTGTAGGGTTTTCTGAAGAAAGTATTAGAAAATGAGTAAGCTGAGTTGGAGGTTTTCCTCTCTCATCACAGGAAGTCAGAAATCTGATGTTTCTTCAGTGTTTGTACATAAATCACTATCCTAAAACCTTACTTCTGGTTTCTCTTGCCAGCATGATGAAATGTAGAAAGAGCATTGGATTGGGAGTCAGGATGTTTAATGATGTTGAGCAAGTGATTTCACTTCTGAGTCTCTATTGTTGCCATTTGTACCTTGTAAGTAATAGCCATATGCCTTACTTTTGTGAAGATCAAATCGGGTATGAAAATGACACTGCTTTCTAAGTGGCATAGTGATCTACCCATGCAAAGCATTATTGGCCTGCATAAGTAACATTTACATAAAGCATATTACACATTTTGAAATGTGATGACTTAATGTGAGACATACTTGTGGACTGAGAAGTTTGATGGAAAAAAGTCAAATGGGATCTTCTTTTGATTTTTTGGTAGAACTTTTTGGATTTTTCTAGGTTGAAGGAAACCTGGCCCCTCTCCTGACTGTGACTTTGCACTCTGCTGTGTTAAAAGTCCTGAAACTGCGGTGTGCTTTTATGATTGGGCTTTTAATTTTGGTTTTGATTTGTTTTAATCGCACATTTAAAGTATAAAGAAGCTCAGCAGTCTAACTTAACACTAGGAAGTGGATCTTGTTTTTAGTGTTCTAAAATGATCCTTTAAGTTGATTTCTTGAACTGCCAACATTGAATATGAAATCCCAGGTCCTTGGAGAGATGCAGTGCATGTGTGAGCATTGGTCTTTCAGGGAAAGAAGTAGCTTACAGCTTCGACCCCTTCTTCTGGGGAAGTCAACCCTGCCTGTTACAGCATCTGCCCATTGAGGTTAACCTCAAGTTAGGCTGACATATAGAACATTCAAGTAAAAAAGTCTTTTAGAAACTTGTAAATCAATTCTGAGGAATTTATGAGAGTAAATATAAGTGAAAGTAAAAGGCAAAGAAATATATAATGTATCATGGGTTGGTAATGAGTGCTTATATGATTAGTTGATAACATCTTTCCTAACATTTTGTCTCATATTACTACTAAAAAGAAACAATGGGTGTATCTTTAATTATTCTGTACTTTAAAAAATGGGAAACAGAATAAAAATGTATAAGATTTCTTTGTTTTCCTTCTTTCCAGCTTTTTTTCCCAAATGAAAAGTAGAAGACAGTTGTAAAAAAATTAGGGTGAACTATCCTTTTGTGAAAAGTATGTTCAAAATAAACAAACATATATGATGAATCTAGATTTTTTAAGAAGTAAAAACAAATTATTTTTTAAAAATTTTGAGAATAGAAGAAAACATCAAGCCAGAAACCAGTAGTTCTACTTTTTTGTTTATCCAAAAAAGGGAAAAAGGGGCCGCCAGGGGCTTACGGTTCCCAAGTGAGGGCAGTATGGAGCCTAGTCAAGCTCATAGATTTGGCTCTTTCAGACTTTTCCAAAATTTAAGATATAACAGTCTGGGAAAGTCAGAATTTTTTTCAAAATGAGAATACCTGGTGAAAGGAATATTTCCATACTAACAGGAATCTTAATCCCCCACAGCGTTTTGCATTCATATTGTTTACTCTATTTCAAACTTTTTATCTCAATTATGACATCTTTTAGATTGAGGCAAAAAGGGATGTTTTTATCTTCAAATATGGCAGTAGTTGCTTTTGTTTCCCAATTTGAAGGATGTTACACCATAGAAGGAAACTTGCGAAGAAACTGTATATTGACTCACTGCTTGCAGAATTTGTTTTCTAGATCAAAAAGTTAATTTGCTGTGTGTAACATTATTTCTGCCTCTTTCTGGGCATGGATAAAGTGAAATTACTACTCCTGTTAGATTTTT